GCCATTTGGCTATCGTTATTGAGATCATGAAACAAATGCACATACATATTTGTGGCATGATGTACCTTGTGTGTGTGAAGTTTAAACTCGATCAATCCAGGCATGTCTCAGATACGAATCCAGAACTGAATTCTTTAAAACAAAATGGCCGCCAGTCGGCCATTTCGAACCCGATCCAAAAAAAAAAATGACGTGCATCAAGGTCCTATTATGTTTAATGTATGTACCAAATTTGAACAAAATCGGTCCATGCATAACTGAGATCCGGGACCGGAATGGTGAAAATGGGCGATTTTGATGCATTTTCGGCCTTAAAATGGCCGCTATTCGGCTATCGTTAATCGGATCATGAAAAAAATGCATGTGCATATGTCCCATAGAATATGTGATGTATGAGTGAAGTTTGAACTTAATCAGTCCATGCATGTTCAAGATACAGGTGATCACGGACGCATGGACGCACACAGGGCAAACCATAAGTCCCTGTTGTCGGACTACGTCCGAACGGGGACAAAAACCCTGGTGTAACTATGGAAACAATGAAATGGTTCTGTGATCTCACTGTTGCATTCGTTTCATCAACACAGTGAAAATTATCTCTCACCTTAGCAACTTTCTCTGACAATTTACCAGTTAGTAAATCTTCTTGCAGTTGTTGGGCTTTTAGTAGTTTCTTAGCCTCATCCACTTTTGCGAATTCTTCAATGACCGCTTGGTAACCTAACGGATCATAACCATTCCACCTATCCCGTTTACCATCATAATCAAATGCTAGTGTAGGTTGTAAGTGTTCATCTGGTGCTATTTCATCCCCAGTAAATTTGGCACCGATTTTTCTCGGCCTCTGTTAGACACAAGAATATATATTATTTAATTTTATGTTATAATTAGTCCAGAATTATGATAATTTGTATTCTTAGACATTATTGCTGCTAAAACTCTTTATTTGCATAATATTTTTTTATGATAATAATAATAATTTTTTTACGATAAAAAAAAATAATAATTTGGGAAACAAAGATAAGAGACATCTCCACAGAGTGCCTTGAGTTTTACCCCCAACAATATGACTATGAATAATGAAATGCAGCACTGCGTGTGTTACTAGATTTAAACAGAAATGTTGCCATCTTCTTACCTCTAGGCAGTCTTTCTTTGAATGTGTCATGGCACCACAATTCTGACACGCCCCCTTCCGAAATTTGGTAGCAACTGAACCCTTAAAAAAAAGAACCATAAACAAACAAGTCAGGCAATAGTAATCAGTTAGCGAGTGATATAACAGCCAGATTGGTTGGAAGCAATACCATATTTATTCTATTAGTAGCACATGCACTTATATAAATTAAATTGATTATTGTTTTTTCAACAAAAGTGTGAATTAATAGGAGACAAATGGAAATTATTTTATTCTTGTGCCTTAATTAATAGAATAATTTGGGGTTGATTCGGTTTTTATAAATGAAAAAAGACACAGACAGCGAAACATTTGCGATGTTATGATCTAGTATCATAATGTACATGTATAGCTAGAATTTTACGCACACAACACAAGGTCATTTCATGGAGCTTTGTAGAAAGTACACAAATCTGCCAGAAAAATTATGCTTTGACATCCAAGTAATGCCCAAGATGGATAATCAATAAACTAGGAACCCCCCCCCCCAGAAAATATATATCGTTAGATTAAAAACTCATGTGGTTCAAACAGATTTATTATATGATTTATATGCACAACTATCAGACACAATCGAGAACAAAAATGTTTTGTAACAATGAGGTCACCATCTTGTCATAAACTAACAAAATTAAAGAAATATAATTGTAACACAGACCAATACTTAAGTTTTGAAACACAAGTAAAGGGTAATTGTCATGGAACAACCATCATTTTGTTATTGTTTGACCCAGAAATCTGCAAGTCATTAATTTGATGTCTCAATATTATACCCTGTGTATTACTAAAACACAAGTACAAATAAATTGTACTGTCTTATTCCAATAATTGTTGTGTATTTTTGCTTTAACATGATGTTAAATGTACTGATTTACAATTTTGTGACCAATCCTTTGATAGACTTACAGCTTTGACTCCTCTATGATACCATTCATTAAGTTGACTAAAACGTTTAATTTTTTCCTCTTGGGGCCTTTGATGTTTTAGAGTTGGCTGGGTATGTCCCAGATACCATGGTGCTGCAGCAATGTATTGTGGTATATGTGGGTTGATGTCTCTGGAGAAATAGAAAATTATTGTATAAGCAATCAATCATCCATAGAAACGTTTGTGCATGCCATTTGAGAGGAGTGATCACTTCACTCTGCTATCACTCTCACAACGCAAAACTCACAAAAAATGTTAATAGCAAAGCTTGCCTAAAGTCTCGATATTGCTTTCAGAAAGAACATTTGCTGGCCAGAAATTTTACAAAGACAAAGCTTGGTAAAATAATAATATATAGAGAATTTCATGGAGGCATGAATGCTTTTTTGTATGGAAATTTATAAATATTTATAGGAGGTATACTCATATACATGTATAACAATTTCCAGTCAACTTTGCATGATTTTTCAAAGCATATATACAAGACTGATTTTTTTTTTTTATCTATTTTTTTATTACTTTTACAAAAAACATTTACAAAAAAAAAGAAAGAAAAAATTACAAAAAAAGAAAAGTGGATGGCTTAAAAGAAGTGGAAGTGGGGGAACATTATTGATAAGCTGACAAATCTGGCTAATAAGTGAATTACTCATAATTAAAATTATTCCATTTTTCATTAAATTTAGACATTGAACCATTATTGATAGCTATTTGTCGCTCTACAATGCGAGTGTTT